ACATATGTGCAGTGTCATTAGCAAACCTGTGATATAACTTCAAATCCCTATTACGATGCTTTGTTTGTTTGTTTTTTCTGTATAAACTTCACTCTCAACAACTTGTTTTCTACTGAGGTAGTGTAAATAGAGTGTATGTGTGACGTATTTTTGTAGGCGAACCTGGGAGTTGGTGTCACCCAGGTGCCCTTGATAAAATTGGATTTTTCCATAGACCTTTGGATTATTGCCAAAAAAAAATTCAAACATTTTTTAATCCCATATAGAGCTGTATTGTAAAGTTGTGAAGTTTTCTTCCTTAGTTGCCCCTGCCTGTTTCGATGTGGTCCGTATGTGTCCAGCATAACTGCGCTCGCCTGCTCCAGGTTCCACTGGCATTGCTGCAGAAGCTCCTCGCACTCAGCCCTGGACCTCAGACCCAACCGAAACAACTGCTCCACCTACAATCCAGGTGGCGAGACAAGTATTTCAGATAGGTAACGCCGAGTGCCGTGTGTGTGTTTCTGTTGTCTAATCTTGTTCATTTGCACTATGTTATGTATTTTTTATTGTGAGCTTAATGATATTATTCTACTTCACTGTGGATTTTTACATATTGGACAGAGACAGCAGATCAACAGTGCATTGCTTGTTTTGTTTTTGTCCCACCTGCTCTGGTCCCAGGAGGCTTTAGCATCCATTCCCAGAATATTTCATGTCTACGTGAACCTGTGTATTTGCCTAAAACTTAAAATATACACAATGATGTAACAACATCTCCTCAGAGACAGACAGATGGGACTTGAGCTTTCGAGCCCAACTGTCTCTTTTACATTTTTTTTTCTAACCATCAGTATGCAGACAGACAGATAAATGTACCTTCAGATGTTTTATGGCCTGAGGGATGTTCCACCTGTGACTCCGCAAAGCAGCCTGACACTCCTCCAGTGTGACACCGTGCACTGCTCCTTGGACCTGTCAATCATACCATGAACTCATCACAAATTGAAGATAAAATGTGAGAATGTCTAAATTTGGGCAGTTTAAGAGACTGACAGAAGCCTTGCGATGTCGTGATTGCAATTTCGTATCTGACATATTCTCAATTCTGCCACATTTTGATCTTGACAAAGGCAGTGTAGGGCAGCGCAACAGTCAGCCAGGTTGTTTGATATTTGTTTTTATTTTCCATGAATGATTGTAAGCATCATGTGCATTTTCTTTTTCTCACCTGTACAATGCTCTGCTCCTGTTGCATGCTGGGAGCTGCAGTTCGCCCATTGTTGTTATTGAAGGAGGAGTTTGGTTTGGTTCCACCAGGCTGCTGCTGCATCATGGGTTTCACTGCCGCCATGTTGGCTGCTCCGTATCTGATTAGAAAACCAAGGATACAAGTTGTGGTGACAGTTTTCATAATCAAGTATGAATCAGTGTTTTTAATAGGGAGAATAAATGAGGCAATACACACCTTTCCAGAAAAGCTGGTCTCTCTGGCAGTGGGGTGGGGGCTGAGCTTTGAGAGCTGTCAATCAGTGAGGAGAAGCCACGTCCCTCTTGAAAGGTGATTGGATCCAGTAAGGAGCTGGATGAGTAGGAGGCCCCAGGAGCTGTGAGACGTGAAGCATGGGCTTGAGGTGGGGAAGAGGACAAGGAAGAGGGGTTGGAGGACAGGAGGGGGCCCAGGAGTCCAGACACTCTGCGTGGGGAAACAGAGAGAGGAGGAGGGGGAAGGGCCACAGGGGAGGAGGAGAGCGGTGGCACTAGCGGGAGGGGAGATGAGGAGCGAGAGCCCGGCTGAGAAAAGGCGTGATCTCTGGGTGGTATCTGAGGAGGCGTGTCCTCCTCATTACCCAGGGAGATGGAGCTGGAACGGGCCTGTGAGTGGGTGGTGCAGGCGGAGTGGTTGTATTTAGAGCTACGTAACGGGGGCACAGGGCTGCGGGGAGGCAGAACCGGCCGGTCCTCAAAGCAGCAGGTGAAGGAGGAAGTGGAGGTGGAAGAAGGGGAGGGAGGAGGCAGGTAGATCTGCCGATGGGGCCCCGTAGGGGCCAAGGGCATAGGGAGGGGGGAAGAGGGCAGGGAGCGGCCCGTTGCCATGGGAACCTGCAGCTTCACCATCACCTACATCCGAGAGAAAAGTTTAAATAAGCTCAATCTAATATTTGTATGTGTTTACAGTTTGTTACTGCAAGTAAACAAGTTTGGGCTCAGCTTCTCCAATGTTTATTTTATTCTACATTGTCGCCAGGTGATGACCTTACGAACTGCTGGAAAAAAAGTCAAGTTTAAGCAAAGCTGTTATCAAAAGCTAGTAAGCATGATGCTTACTGCACCATGTGTCATTTCATTGTTTTGATGTCTTCAGTATTAATCTACAATGTAGAAAAACGTTAAATGAGAAGGTGTGTCCAAGCTTTAGTTGCACCGTATGAACTCTATGTATTTCAAGTGCATTATTTCTCCACCTCTCTCTGCAGTTCTTGGAAGAGGTCGGCTGACTGTGACTCAGTCCTGCCCATCATGCTGGCCCCAGGTGTGGCCACAGTCTCTTCAGGCAGTCCTTTGTTTATGGTCAGCACCTCTTGGTCCTCTGATTGGTCATCGAGCTCTGTAGCAACCTCATCATAAGATGGCTGTGGGAGGGGCCAGTCCAAGATGGAGGGCGTGTCCTGAGGAGGAAAATGATAGACACTTTAGAAGGTGGGAAAGAAAGTATGGCTGATTTACAACTAGACAAAGCAACAAATGCTACCAAAAACATTTGACTGTCTCTGTCACTCAGTTCATAATTGTACCTTAAGTGTGTCCTCATCCAGGTGCCGTGTCTCAGTGAGTGGTGAGGGCGTGGTCGAGCTAAAGCTGTCATCGGTGAAATCTATGAGTGACACCTCACTTTTAGCCGAGCGTACGCCAGACCCCTCCCATGGTCGGAGCTTCAGACGCAGGGACACTCCCAGCCTCTTCAGCCCAGATGAGGTGCTGCTGTCATCATCGTCATCATAATCATCCATCACGGAGTCGTAGAATGGCTCTGGACACACATGCAAACACCAGAGTCAGGAAACAGGAGCTGAGGTATTGAAAGCTCAGATCAGAGGAGAGGAAAACTTACTTTTCAGCAGAACAGCAGGCTGAGGTGGGCGAGGGGGAGGCTGCTCTGATTAAGACAGTAAAGATATTACACTCAAATTTAACATTTGAGGTAATATTAGAATCATCACCATTATTAGCAAATCAAAGAAAAAGCACATATAGAAACAGAAAAAATGCCTTTTATTAAATATGTGCATTACACGAATAAATTTACTTTTGGCACGGTTGGGGAGTTTGGTTGGTCTTGCGATGCCCGAGTCCATTCCAAGGACATCAGGGGGGTCCATGGGGTTCCCCAGGTACAGACTGAAGAGATGAGGCAGATTTAATGGATTAATTTAACAGTAAAGTCACTCAGCACTTTGAACTGAAGACTACAAAATAGGAGCAGTAACATCACCTTTTATCCTTTAACTACTTCTTCATATTCCTACATAATGCAAGTATGTTGTTAGAGCTCCTGTGATCACTACTTACAGAACTGTTGATCTGGGCTTTAAGACTTTTTTTTTTTCTGTGCTTGCAGATGTGAGTTTCTTCTAAACAGTCTACATCTGTTGGAAAAACCTTTGCTGCACTCCAGTGGAGAGTTACAGAATGGAACATTGGTTCCGGCTATAAAACCAACAGAATTTAGTGACGTACTACATGTTTTTGGTGCCGTGAGATGATTAAAGGAAAAAAGAAAAGGTGTTATTTTACAGAAGAGTGTTTACACATTCTAATTTTACTATCCACTCCAAGCCTCTAAAGATTCTTCAAATTAAACAGTGTGAAAAGGTAGTAATCTGTGAAGAAGTGTCATGGACTAAACAATTAATGAAGACAGTAATCTGTAGATAAATCTATAACCAAATTAATCATTAGTTGCAGCCATAGCGGGTTGTGGTAGAGTACAGTATCTGTTGGTTCAGTATCTAGTACGCTGGTTGTTTTCCACAGTTAAAACAGGTGGTTTAGTTGGACCTTAACTAAGGAGAGAAATCTGTATTTATAATTTTTTTTCACGGAATGTTGTTCAAACACTTTTTTTTTTTCCTAAAATGAAACCTTTTAATAAAGCCTCACATCAAAGATGGCAGCTTCCATAAGTGTCACTAACCTGTCAATGCGGTCTGCATGTCCCCAGCTCCTGTGAGGGTCTGTGTCTCCATGTCCGGTGTGGATGAACGAGTGTTTAAGCGGTCGGCTGATGTCCTGAGCCGAGAGGCCGGCGACTGATGTTACCACATGACGAGGAAACTGACTAATGTGCAGCGTCCGTCTGTTCTGACCTCGCCACCAGTAATGTTCTGCCCTGAAGCACGTACATGGACATAGACAAATGCAGAGGTATGAAAAGCCACTATAATGAGCCACTAGTGAGACGGTAATTAATGATTTCCACAATGCAAAGAATCCAGTGTGAACAACAGATGGATTTGTTGTCCTGTAGGGATCACCTTCATTCTGCACTGACAAATAAGAGTGCTGCTTTGTGTAGCAGAATCTAATGAGATTAAAGATTGTGGCATTCTTCTAGGGCATGTTTGGTAACTGACCTTCCCTCTATGATGGTGATGACATCATTCATTTTAATCTGGAGTTTGTCTTCCTCCTCAAAGTCCTGCAGGGCTCTCATATCTGTGGGCATGGTCTGCAGAGCACACACACAACTAGTGAGTACAGTGCTGTAAACGTTGCATGATGTATTACTGCCATCAGCAGGATCATAACCATTAGTTCACATCATTTATTTTATAATAGTGATTTATGTTTCCACTTGCTTTCACTTTACTGTTCTTATCAGCCTCTGAGCTACTAAAACAGGGAGTGGTTAGTTTTATTTTGTTTTTTGTTACTATAATTAAAATGTATAGGGGTTTATGTCCATGAACTTGGACATTTGAGTCCAGCTGGAGGCTTGCATTGCATCTTTCTCTTCCAGCCTCTTTCCCCATACATTTCTCAACACATTAATGGCAAAATGTGCCTCAAAAGATACTTAAAACACTGTAAAAAATGTTTGGCTTGGCAAAAATACAAGTAATACTTAACAGATGTGGTTCATTTCTGTGCTGTGTATGACTGTTCCTATTATTCTGACCCTCTCATGTGTAGCTGGGGAAGACGAATATATAGACACCTCTGAATATAGTGTAGTCCAGTTTATACATTTGTGACAATATCACCAAAAACTGAAACATTTTGAGCTTCATAAACACAGATGTTAAGGTGGAATTGTTGCATTGAAGTGCATACAGGTGCCACTATTAATGTGGCTGGGCAGTGTATACACACAGCAAATGTTCATTAAATCCCTGCAGCCATCTGAACACAGCAGAACATGTGGCTATATCTGCAGCCTCTGGTTTGCAGTGCGCAGTGCCACGAGGCTGCAACAATAAGTCCATATAATACTGCTCACATGAGACCGATCCGTTATGATTCCATATTCTGTTGTTTAAAAAATGATGAATATTTTTAATGAACATGTTTTCTGAGAGATTTAAGATGTAAAGCCTGAATCTGATTTAATACTAGTGAGCTAACCTCAAGCAGGAAATCTCTGAGGGCGATGAAGGTCGGTCTGTCCTCAGGCTTGGGGCTCCAGCACTGCAGCATGACGTTGTAGATATCCTGAGGGCAGTCGTCAGGTTTACACAGCCTCTCGGCCTCCACATCCACCTTATGGAGAATCTACGAACACACAGATGCATTTTTAAAATCAGAAGACACTGAGCGTTTTTAGTTGTACATTGGAAAAAAAGCTCACCTGGCTCCCGTTAAGGCCCGGCCATGGCTCCTGTCCGTGGGTGAACATTTCCCACAGGGTGACGCCAAACATCCACGTATCAGATGCATGGGAGAAAGTTCGAGATTTCAGAGACTCTGGAGCACACCTGGGGATAGACATGGATGAAGACTGAGATACAGTTTGAAGCAGGCTAGCCAATGACTGTGTATGACCCGGGTGCCCTCCCCTCACCATGGGAAAGGAATTTTGTGGCCCTCCTCCATGATGTATTGATCAGTGTGTGTTGGCAGAGCTCTCATCAGTCCAAAGTCTCCGATCTTCACAGTTTCATTGGTGGACAGCAGAACGTTGCGGGCGGCCAGGTCTCTGTGGAGGAAACGCTTCTGCTCCAGGTAGGCCATGCCACAGGCCACCTACACATGCATATTCACACACAGGCACAATGTTAACCAAACACATGGACATATCCACACAAGTCAAAAACACTTTAATCCTGATATACAGACATCTGCACCAAAGATGTGATGAAAAAATTTAATTAAAGACTTCCCCTTGTGTGTTAACTGACCTGTACAGCGTAGTTACAGAGAGAGGAGATGAGGATGTGACCCTGGCGCTTTCTGAGACGATCCAACAGGGAGCCCAGAGGGGCCAGCTCAGCCACCTACACACACACACACACACACACACACACAGGAATATGCACACAGCTCTGGAAGCTGATGTATGTATTATAGTCAATCTGTGTGTAACTGTGCATGAAGATGTTTTAGGATGTGATTGTGTTTTACCATCTTCATTGGCTGTGTGAGGACGATGCCGTACAGACGAATGAGGTTCTGGTGGCTCAGTGAATGCATGGCATTCACTTCTCTGATGAAATCATCCAGACCATCGGAGTCCAACACTCCAGCCTTCAGACACTTGACTGCCACTGACAGCTAGAAACAGAGTGGGAGAGAGAACATCAGCCAACAACCAAAATGATGCAGACAATGTCTGGTCGGGCGGCAATAACTATCGAGAGCCAAATGGGTCTTAGTTATAAACACCACTCTGCCGTTGGGTCCGGTCCACTCTCCTCTTCGCACCACTCCGAACGTGCCGTCTCCCAGCCGCTCGAACAGCTGCAGCTCTGACTCCCTGATCAGGCAGGTGAGGGAAGCTCCTGACTCGCTGTTGGCTGGGCCTTGGCTAGAGGACGGCCCCTGGGAGAGGGGCTGCTGGGGGTCGGAGTCGGGTCGCTTCACTGGAAACACCTGCAGGCCCAGAAGGAGAAACTGTATCTGACTGAGTTTAGACTCGAAAACAACAAATACGTTTTATTTAACTGATCTACACACCAATCTGAAAGATAATGTGTTAAAGTGGGAACACTTATTTCCAACATGGGGAATACCAACAGACACTAAATGAGTGATGCAGCATTAAAACTACATAAATGCAAAATAAACATGTATATCGATGCACCAACACATCAATTATGTAACACAGAAAATTTTGTAGTCAACCTTCTGTCCAACTAGCAGTGAGGCAGTGGGGTTAAGGGGTCAGAGGACAGATGTTACAAAACACAAAAGTGTGTGAGCAGGAAAAAACAGTAATTTGATACTGTACACATCCCTATGAGGAAATGTCCCCTTGCAATAATGTCAGAATGCAGGATCAGCTCTGGTTGTAAAGCTCAGTGTGTGTGTGTGTGTGTGTGTGTTGGCAGAACAGGACACCTTGCTCATCCAGGACTTGCGTTTGTAAAGGGCTCTTCTCCTCTTGACTGCCTCCCACAGCCGCCTTTGACCTGAACCAACACATTCACAAGCATTTAGCCTATTCACACTGAAGACTTGCTCAAACTTCAAATACAGTTTTTCTTTTTCTCTTAAGGTCAAATCCAAAATGTATGGATTTAAATGTGTATTTTGAGCTGAAGGACCACCTTAACCTTTCTCTCTAGTTAAAGGAATTTCTCATTTGTTTTGATCAATATGAGCTACATAACCTGTTGTGCCTGCAGTACAATGGAAACAGGTCATTTTGCTGTACCTGGGCGTCCCATGCCAATCTTCTCTAGGTCTTCATTCTTGACATAGTCAAAGTGGGAGAGTAGCGTGACGTTGAGCTCGTCACGGATCCGCAGGAAGTACTGCTGCAACTGCACATCTGTCAGCAACTCCAGCAGCCACTCTGTCCCCTCCTCACACTGCATCTGCACATAGACAGTTCACCTGGATCACTATACACGACGGGAAGCATGAGCTACTGTCTGGCTTTAGTTAGTTAGTATTCTGTGTTGCTTAGTCAACAGGATGCCCATCATTTGTGGCCATGTAGTGGTGTCTACGAAATTATACAATGTGCATTCTAGGATTGGTTTGCTGTACCATAACAACCTTTTTTTAAATAATGACACCAACACATGATCTGAGTGGGATGTTTTAAATAAATAGGCTAAACCTGTCAGCGCTCTCTGGTGGACAAAGCACGTAACTGTGTAATTACCTCATTCATATCTCCTGTACTAGAATTGCTTACTGTTTATCAGCTACTCTACATGTTTTATATGTTGACAGTTATACTTCTGCAATTAGCTGAAATTAGCTAATTTATATATGATCCTCTTAGTTAAAGGAGTAAACAAACAGTCTGCTGCATTATTAATTAAAACAAAGTGCCAAATATTTGCTACGTTCAGTCTCTAAAATGAACCAATTTGCTGTTTTATTGCTGTAACTTTATCTTCTGGTTTGGAACTGCAAGTTGCACAAAACAAGCAACTGTCAGACCTTGAAATTGGCATTAATATGGTTTCATATTTGTCTTTTTACATATAGAATAAACCTGTGGTTCCCTGTGTTTCGAGACCCCAACAAGAGGCTCAAACCTGCGGCAACTTCATTACTGGGATGCAAAGGCAAGGAAAATGTATTTTCATTATCCTGTCTCTGTTTTTAATGGTTTTTCTTGTGAATTATTGGATGTGTTCAGGCCTTTAGCACCTTTATCATTCAAAATAAAGATGGGTGGGGGGGACAAGTCCACATCGGTTTGTTGGTTTTAAAGAACACAAGCTGAACAGGCTGGGAACGACTGAACCAAACCATTAGCCCACAGCTGCAGCACCACGATTCTCACGCATACACACACCCACTTATCTCAAAAAATATTCATCCTCCCTACACAAGTGAACCTCCGGACTTTGACCGCACAGACAAACACACTGCAAAATCACTGCATGCCCACCCACAACTTCAGACTTTACCATGTGTCCCCCGACACTTTCTCTGATCCTCCTGTGTGTCTCTTCTTCATCGTCTTCCTCCTCTCCCCTGGTGTAGGGGAGCCGCTGGTACATATAGTTCTCCCCCATACTCTAACACCTCCTCTTGTCCTTCACACGTCTCTGTGGGGTGTTCTGGCTCCTCTTTCTCTGTAGCTGTTATACAGAAGACGCGTCAGCTCCGCCACCCTGTTCCTGCATCTAGTTTGCTAATCTCCTCTCGACCTTCTCTGTTCAGTCGATGCGCGCATGCACACACAAACGCACCGGGAGGCTTCTGACGCCACTCTCTCCAGTCGTATCACCTAAAGCTATCCACAATGTCTTTCAGCCACGAACACCTCCGTGCCTCCCCTTCTCTCTCCATATTTTCCTCTGCTCTAGCTCTTTCTCCATCTCCTTCTGGCTCGGCAGCCAAGCCCACTGTCTGATGTTAAATAATTCAGCAGCTCTGACAAGAGGATGGCAGGGTGTGAGAGAGAAACAGGAGGAAGGAGGGGAGAAAATGTAGATACAAATAGGCTGACAGATGGATGGATAAATGGATGGATGGTCAAGTCAAAGAGCAAGGACAGTGAGACAGTTCCCAGTATGCACTGGAAAGGTGCAGATGGTAGAAGCTTGACATCAACCCAAACAAGCATATCATTGTGAAGAATGGAAAGATGAGATCAATTTGAACATGTAAAACAGGATCAGCTTTGAGCAAGAACAAATTCAATATAATTTTTCAATCATGTCATTTATAAAGCAAAAGTGTGAAAAATTTGAAATTTCCACTATTTTTAATAAACTGAGAAATTAATTGAAAAAGATTCCTGAATGTAAATCCTCACTAAACATGTTGAATATGTGACTCAAACGGGATTAGGCTCTGATAAAACAAACATTTAGACAACAATGTAAAGAGACTACATAGATAATTCATAAAATGAAAAAGATTTTTTGGAAGGCCTACCAATTTAAAGAGTTTGGTTGGTGGCTTGGCTGATGGGCTGCTTCTGGGAAAATTCAGACTCATGACCTCAGCTCTTCTAAAATCATGGCCACATCCCTAAATAGCAGCATGTTTGGGAACTGATTGCACAATTGTGCTAGTAGCAGCAGCACTGTACCAAAAGTGCGAGCTATAAGGGAAATCTATCTGCATGCGCTTTCTGAAAATCCTTCAACTGAGTATTAGGGCCACATTAAGGAGAAATAAAATGAGGAGGAAGTTTATTTTTTTTGTATGTTGAGAATAAAGTCAGAATGTGGAGAATAGGGTCTAAATTAGAGATGCAGCGATTGCAGATTTCATAGCCGATTCAGTTTTATTTTTTTCTTCCAACCTGCCGATTACGGTTTTGGACAATTCAGATTTTTCAGTCAGTGCATCTCCATTTAAAATATCAACAAGTTAAATGTCAAGATTAAAGTTGAAATGTTGAGAATGAAGTTGAAATGTGAAAGTTTGACTTTATTTGGACTTGCTTGATGTGGCCCTAATATTCCGTTCTAAAATCCACACTGCAAAAGTCAACAAGCTTCAGAATCTCCTCCCATAGTGTTTTCTTTGTGCCACATTTAGTAAAAGATAATACGAGATAACAGCTAACTGCTAGTACAGTATATTCACCATAGTTGTGTACAGAAAAACACCTGAATTTTAGTATTTTTCAGTGTTTATTGCAGAACACCAAATCACATATGAGTTGCTTGTTTACAGACAGATTATCTATGGTAACATGGTGTTACAGCATTAATTTAGTTCCCATCAGTTTGTGTGGTAAAACCTTCCATGCCTTTCATAAAATGTACACAGATGAACTTCATTCAAAATATAATTAGTTTATGGTAAAAACTAAGAAGAACCTGAGACTGGTGCTTGTCTGTCAAAAATTCAAGCTGTTTGTTTTTGCTTCTACTGTGCATTACAGACCAACGTTTAAGACACAATAAAACACTACAGTAGTGCAGATACTGTAGAATGAGAAGGAGACAAAGAATGACAAGGGTGAGGTACTGAGCTGATACCACTGGTAACATTTCACAGCAAAAAGGCTAACAGCAATGCTAAAGTGTGCATGCCTGGATATGATTTTGTGTGTGTGCATCTGTGGCCTAAATGAACACAAAATCCGAGGTTTCATGTCTGTTTGCACATGTTCTACTCAGGGCAATGATCTAAAAATAGTCGAGTTAAACTTAGCTTACGTTCACAGGCATGGAGAATAATGTGGTGCGAACACGGCTGCTTTACTATGATCTCAAGATCAGATCCCCATGACTTAGTCAAGACTGTTAACAGAGAACCTAATGGTTTACTTGGGGTGACTGTGGTTCAGTGGGTAGAGCGGTTTTCCCCCAACCGGACGGTTGGAGGTTCAAATTTCGGTGCCTGCAGTCCACATGTCAAAGCGTCCAAGACAAGGCAAGACACTGAACCCCCAAGTTGCCCCCAATGGTTAGAGCCATCGGTATGAGTTGGCGCCACAGATGGCTGCCTCGGTTCTGTACCGGAAACAAATTCCTTGTGTGTAACATGCTTGGCCATATAAAGGAGATTATCCTTATTTATTATGATGGAAGGAATAGGATTTATTCAGCATGTAGTTTTATGGTCCCTTGCTTTGTTTTGACTGCAATATAGTTGCAGGCACCAGGAAACAGCTGTTTTATAAGCAGCCTTCCTCTAATTCTGGACAGCAAGCAGACATGAAATTTAATGCGACATGGAAAATGGGGGCATTGTTCAAAATATCTTTATTGCAGTAATTACTTCGGCCACTAGAGGGCACCGGCGTACCAAGGGTGCACATCTATTGATGCTAGCAGCCTCCTGGATGGTGCAAGAGGCCATTGTTGAATCATATTTATGTCTTTGATAATAACTGATAATGGTGTGGTGACACTCTTAACCAGTAGTATGTCTGTTTGACTGGCCTCACCCTGCAGAGGTCTTCTGGTGGGTCCAGGATCAAAGCTGCAGTCAGAAGTAGCTGGAGTCACTGGAGGTCACCTGGAGAAGCCCATGGATGGAGAGACCCCACATCTACAAACAGAAAGTAAGAGAACGTCAGGATTCACTTTCAGTAACAACAATAACAACAACATAAATGCCTGATTGACAATCCCCCGTAGAAAACGACAGGGAAACCCAGAAACTTAATTCTGTCCAACCATGTTACTAGTAAAAGGCGCTTAAAGAAAATTTAAAAGCAAACTTGAGTTCCATCTGTTACAGTAAAGAGAGCAGCAGAGTGAGAAAAACCGAGAAGACAGTGACAGAGAATACAGCCTGGCCAGAGAAACAGGCCAACACAGGCAGACCAGGCTGCGTCCTTACTGACACCATTGGGAAGTGTCACAGTGTTTTCAGACGTTTAAAACAAGTACATGTCCAGTAGGCAATTAATAGAGATGGCAAATTATCCATTTAAGGCTGTATTAATCAGTAATAATATATCCAAAACCTATGCTTTTTTTTTTTAAGGGAAAGGATGTTTTCCCCTCCATATTTGTCAGCTAGGGCATGAGGATGATAGGAAGATGCTGTTAGTAAGTTATTTGGCCCAACTTTTGCAAACATTAATAGCTTACTTAATTTTTAACCTAGGCAAGGATTAAAACAGAAGCAGACAAAAAAAAAAAGATAATTAGAGCATATAAAGATGGATACTGGAAAGAAGGCAAACCGAGGACGTGATCTTTCCAATAAACAGCGCAGAACAGATTTTATTTGATCGCATTGATGCTTTACAGTCTAAAGCAGATTAGCCTGAATCACGTAGGTGGACACCTGTTGGTCTGTCACAGTGGGAAACATTACTTTGTCCACAAGAACTTAGACAGAGACTGATTGACTGATTGTGCTTGTTTTGGTTCAACATGCCGCATCTTCTAAGAGCGCGAGTAACCTGGTTCCAGAGAAAAATAACCGCGGCATACCGACCTATGAAAACGGGCATTGGGGGGAAACTAGTGCCTTCCTCCGGTTACTAGTCGCTCCGTCCGCCGCTCTCAGCCACTGCAGCCCGGCGGGAAGCCGCGTTATTCAGTGGAGAATTGTTTAAATTAGCCGAATCCTTTATATCCCTGCCCTCCGTTCCGGGATGCTCCTAAGAGCGCCTGACGGGTTTTATAAGCGTCACCGTGCGTAACCTCAACACGCAAAAAGCGCTCCCGTTAACGCTGCTGCCGCTGGTAGTGACCCGGATTTACCAAAATAATGGCACTTCCTGTCTAGACGTTCGAGTTTCAAAACAAAGACCCAGAGCCGTGCTCACAAATATTCTTATCAGTAAAAGTGCTGAAGTTCAAATTGCGTAGTAATTTGTGTGTATCTGTGTAATTTGTAGTTCTGTTTTATTTAGGAGAGACCAATCAGAAACAAGTTGCTGTGATTTTGTATAATAAAGAGACATTTAAGTACTCTTGAAACACTGTTTTCATGGTTGTGACCATTTTAAAGCTTGATTTCTTAACAGTGTTTGGTATTTTTAGTCAGATAGAAATTGGATAGATACTTTATGTATTAGAAATGTTTAGTGGAGATGGGATGTCTAGTTAGACTGTTAAATGCTTAGTCATGCTTATGAGTTTCTACAGGGTACATCTGGTCAAGGATAACTAGAGAGAAGAGCTGATGACTGTCAGCAGACAGGGTGTTTAATATTATTATTATGACGTGTATAACTGTAGCCTTAGCCATAATATGTTCTTATGTTTAATGTCACGACATGTTACTAGAGGTCGTGAGAATGTTTTTAGCTACACACCACTTAATCAACAGACACACACACGCACATTGATTTGCTTCATGTTTTGACTACTGCTATGGCCAGCTGCAAAGCTGGCAACAGAGACGTCTCGGTTGACGTTTCTGTATAGTATGGGGCTAGCCCAACCGAGAGGATATAATGTATAGGCCTGTTGGGTTCAGGGTCTTTCATCTTACATCTGCCTGCGAGCAGTTTGGAGGTGCAAGATACCTGAGCGTGTAATGTTAATTTTACCTATGATCCTTTGAATAAATCAGCACTGTTTTGAAGTTATTTGGACTGTCTCGTCTCTCAGAGTTAGCAATGGTAACAAGAACCAAATAGTCCTACAACAGCTAGAGATATAGTGGATGCTAAGAAAATGTATTAGTTTTCAATTTAACATGGAAGTCACAGAAATATAATTTCAGGAACTTTTCAAGTAGCATTGTGGTGGTGGAAATTCCATGCCCAAAAGGTTTTAGCAAGTTTTATTTTGAGATAAAAGGTCTCTGAATATCTTTGAATATCTGTAATAGGTGTTATATTATATTTTAGGCTGTTATAGTCATCTTAGTGCTGTTTTGGAGAACTGACAATACAATTCCGGGGAATACACAGATTATCAAATTTGTGTGGGAAGAAAAGGGTGAAAGAAAATATCAGCCAACAGCCAAAGTCTGAGGTCCACCTCAGCAGAGCGAAACAATAACATGCAGCAAAGAGCAAATGTGTCACAGAAACATGCAGAGACTCGTGGCTTAGGAGTGAATTCATGTATCTTTTTAAAGTCAGTAACAAAGAAACGAGAGAGATTTAGAGATTATTTCTGTAGGCTGACAGGGTTGTAGCTCGCTATAATGTATACAGTGCATTTAAATACCCTTATGTGTGTGTTTGTGTATAGAGTTGCTTGACTGGTTGCAAAACATAAAGCATTTGAACAGATTATCTCTAGAAGAGATGTTTGTTTCTCATTTGTAATTTAACGCCATTCAGAGTAACTATGTCTGGTGGGTCTCTTGAGTTTCTCTGCACGAGGAGTTGCTTGTACTTCTCCTTTATTTAATCTGTTCAGCATTAAATCAACATTTTTGTTAATCAGGAAGTGTAAAACACAGTGAATGATATCAGTAAGTGTTTTATGTCTGTGTTAAGATTTGATTCAGTTATGACTCAGAGATGGAGAACAATTTCTGATTCAGATTCACCTCACCTCTTTGTGTCAAGGCTCCCCCTCAGTGCCGGCCATGGCAAGGCTTTTGGCTCTGTCCTGCTGCATGACTAGAACAGTAATACTGTTCACAATGATGAGTTAGACAAAGGAGGAGCACAGTGAATGTTTCAGTCCCCATCTCTCCCTGTAATCCTTTTGGAATGGGGCTTATCGGATTTTGTTGAGACCACAGTATAAATAAAAAATATAAGTACAAACAAAACAGAAGAAATCAGAAGCACACATGCTCTAAGGACCAATCCCATTTCTTATTTCTTACGCCTACCCCTCATTTGCTCCCTCGTTTTCAAGTTAACCCTCAGAGTTACATACAAGGAGTACTGATTGAAATCTTCCCTTATGAAGCTCAACAACCCTTCAAGACATCTGTGCATCATCGGTAGTTAATGATGATGACTAACTAAACAGACGAGCTGTTGTCGTAAATTTTGAATGGCAGTGCTGTCTTCAGCTGTGGTGATTTCTCCTGTGTGATTTATGAGCATCATCTCGCAATTTCCAACAGAAAATAAGAAAAACTGAAGGAGAGAAATACATTTTTGACACCAGGGAATGTTGGTCGATTTGTTTGAGGTGTGTAGCATCGACTGCAGATTGTAATTGGCCTCAGTGGTGGAAAGTAATTAAGTACATTTACAGTACTTCATACTTTGACTTTACTATACTTTAGAGGCAAATATTGTACCTTTTACCATTTTTTACCATTTTTACCATTTTTTTTATCCATCCATTCATCCATCCATTTTCCTCCGCTTATCCGGGACCGGGTCGCGGGGGCAGCAGTCTAAGCAAACATGCCCAGACTTCCCTCTCTCCAGACACTTCCTCCAGCTCCTCCGGGGAAATGCCGAGGCATTCCCAGGCCAGCCGAGAGACATAGTCCCTCCAGCGTGTCCTGGGTCTTCCCCGGGGCCTCCTCCCGGTGGGACATGCCCGGAACACCTCCCTAGGAAGGCGCCCAGGAGGCATCCGAAACAGATGCCCGAGCCACCTCAGCTGGCTCCTCTCGATGTGGAGGAGCAGCGGTTCTACTCTGAGCTCCTCCCGGGTGACCGAGCTCCTCACCCTATCTCTAAGGGTGCGCCCGGCCGCCCTGCGGAGAAAGCTCATTTCGGCC